AAAAAAAAAAGAAAAACAAAAATTTTGTCGCACTTCACCTGGCTGAGTATAACGCAACGAAAACTTTTATGTATTTCTCGGCGGCTGCACACGGGACCTTATCGGAGGCATAAAAGAATGCAAAGTCTACGATATTTCCAAAAAGAAACTGGTTTCTATCTCAAGTATGAATGAGGGTAGATGCGATAATTCTGCGGTGTTTTTAAGCGGCAAAGTTTTTTCAATGGGTGGATTTAATAGGGGTGCTTTGAAGACGGCAGAATGTTATGATCCTGCCAGTAAGCGATGGAGTTACATTGCACCAATGAATAATACTCGACATGGTTTTGGCATTTGCACGTACAATCATCTAATTTATGTTGTTGGTGGATATCAAACATCCACAGTAGAGAGCTATGATCCTGCAACTAACAAATGGCACTTGTGTCAGAATATTCCTGTAACAACCATAGTCCTAATCGGGCAACAGTGGCAGAAAATAATATTTACAGTTTGACTCAAGGATCTAAGGATAATAATGCACTTCTTCGTTTTGATCCGAGAGATGGAAAGTGGTTTAATTTAAATGAGATGCCACGAACATCTGATCTATTCGGACTCGTCTCATATGATCGAACATTGTTTGCCATTGGAAACAAAGATTGCAAACGGCTCGACATACGAGTGAATAGATGGGAACCGATGCCTTGCGTATTGGTAAACAAGTATGAGTTTTCGACCGTAATAGCCGCAAAAGACATTTATTTATTCGGCGATAGAAGTATAGAACGCTTTAATATTCATAGTAATGAGTGGGTAATGCACCAAATGTTAGAAAATGAACACCATATGGGAGGAGCTGCAATTATTAGCAGAAATTTCAATTTTAATTAAGTAGTGGAAGGCAAACATTATACGGAATAAATATTAGTTTCTTCATGCTCTTTCAAATCTCTTGCGTATGTTTAATGTTCGTTTAAGGAAAATCACAAATTTTAATATTTAAAGAAATGTTTAGTTCGTTTACATTTATGGATAATAAACTTTTATTTATCATTCAAATTTTTTTTTTATTTCTAGAAGCGCGTAACTGTGAATACTTTAGTTGTGACAGTAATCATCCCGGAAAGGGCGGCAGACAAGCTTTTCATTTAATGAAACACGAGTGTTAGAGGAACACAAGATTGCGAGTTATCCTCGAACAACACGGACTGATGATTACAGATCAAAACGTAGCCTATCACTACCTTTAGTTGTTTAGTAACAGGGAACTTCGAATGCAGAAGAAGTCTTCGCTGAAGCATCGAAAGTTTATCACAATTCTCTTATTTACTTGGCCGAGTTTTTTATCATGCTTTAAGGACTTGTTGAGGATGTACATTTGCGCCCACCCAAACATAAAATATTTGAACTTTGGGTGGACATAAGGTTATTTTTTTTGTATATACAAGAAGTTGTAAGAACAGGTTTGCCGTGTTACTTTGTCTCTGGTCAAACTGCAGTTGAGAGCTTATGTAATAGAACCACGCTGCATATTTTATTCATTGATGGCCAAGCAATAAGTAAAACAATTCGTAGGTGATCCGATCATTTTCGAATACTTCCGCTACATTAATTATATTCCCGATACAAATCGTCCCATTGTCATTGCGCTCTTCGTTAATATTCAGTGTTCTTAGAAAAATATATGGAAAATGAAAAATCCAGAAAGATGGAGAAGACGGAGTGCATTTTAATTGAAGAATTTATTTAGCTGATCTGCAGAAAAGTAGGGTAGTATCAATTATTTATTTATTTCGTTTCAAGTCAGCTACAGTTCTTGTACTTCAGCTAAATTATGAATATTAGAATGAGTTGTGCTATTTTTTAGGCTTACATATGTAGCAGGCTACCTGTTCACGATTTATATTAGGTAAATTATTTTACAAGAGGAATGACATCAACGAAAGTTACAGATGGATTAGCATCGGGATGCAAGGCAATGAGTAAGAAGACGCGATAAGGTAATAGATATCGTTCAAAGTTGAAGTGGATTGAGCAATTCGTAGTTTGAACTGCATTGATTAAGTTTTATGGGCCTAAAGTCTAAGACGGATCGGAGCATTGAAGTCAATGTTAGTTAAAAGGGCTGTTGAGCCTATTATGTCACTTATTAAACTAAAAAGCTGATGCTTAAAACGAACCTGCACTGGTTCAATGAAAGCAAAGCTATTAGTAGTAATCTGCTATCATAAGATGGCAATAAAATTTGAGGGACCGACGGCAAACTCCTTAACGCAAATAGTAAGAAGTGGAATGTTGAACTGATTTAATAGTGTCTACGCGACAACGATAGGACGAAGACCATCCAATACAGGCCTGTACAAATGTGCGTCTTACCAACGATGGGATCTTGGAATTCTTTCGACCAGCGTTTTAGGAATCAAGTGCGGATACAAATTTACCAATATGGAGGTGCATTATAGAGCACTGTCCAGGATACTGAAAAATCATTTGCTAAATATATGCAAAATATATTTTAACAAGAACTTGCGGTTTTAGAAGTTAGGTTTCCCGCGTTTCTCGCGTTTGGACTGTCAATATATAATCGTTCTAAGTGAAACACGATTCTCCGAAATCGCAATGAAAAAAATCCGAAAATTTTTGCCACTTCAAGGTGTGATGGTTTGATATGAATTTTGGGCTGGTAGTCCAATTAGATCATACAGTTTCGAAAACGCCACTGGTTCCATTTTTACAATGAATGGATTGCGTTACAGAAATATGTTGACTGACTTTTTTGTTCTAAAGCTAAGACTATTGACGCAGATGAGGTTTATTTTTAGCCGACGGCATAATCTGCCATATTCCTCATGAAACAATGGCTCAGTTCACATGTGGTTGTAACTAGTGCTGTTGACATGGATAAGGAAGGAACGGTTACATCTCTTCTATCAAACCTATAAAATTAATTGAAATTCTTTGGATTTTACATAAGATTTAATTTATTTTGCTAGACCTTACCAAACCAAAACATTTTCGAAGACTTCAGAAGGACTTGTCGATCAATTCAAGTCCGTTACTTAATCCTTTAGAAATTACAGAAAGAAATAGAAAGAGTGGAAAAATGCTATAGTCATATTGGACTCTGCAATTCTTACTTGGTGTAGATTGAAAACCTTTTGGTAAAGTGAAGAGTATCAAGATCTCAGCATGTCGCATATGCTGAAACGTGGGAATAGGCTGAAATGTTTTTAAGATTGCCAGTTCTACAATTATTTTCAATGACAGGCACTTTACGAGTACAGTGAAAATGAGTTTTCAAATGGGTGCGACGTGATAAACTGCCACGCCCTGCCAGAAAGATATGTGTTCCATCGCGTGCGTGTCTCTCGGGTGATTAATTTTTTAATTTTTTTAATTTTTGCAAGCTGATGTTTCAACAGAATGTAATAGCGTATAAATTAAGTAGATGGCGCTCCGACTTCTATCCGTTAAGAAGTTATCCTATAAAGAAAGCAAGAACCAGAAGCCTCTCCTTCCCTTTGCGACATTCACGAGAGTTACTATAACACGGTTTTGGACGTCACCTACGCTAACATCCAAACAATGAAGTAGAAAACTTAAACTTGGAATTACTACAATAGACATAAGTGGTCTAAATTCGATAAGATCGATTTCTTTCTCAATGTACTATTCTGAGACAATTTTCACTATGAAGTATTAAAAATTTGACTTTTTCACGACATAAAGATTCACTTTAATCGGTCGATTATATGCGAAGGGGCCAAGCCCTCCCAAATTTTCCACACAAATTTGGAAAGCCGCAATACTATTTCTTGACCGTTTTTGTCGAGATATTGTGAAAATTGCGATTTTTTTCTTATAATGCTGTTCAGAGCAGACAGTAATATAAGGTGAGGTCGAAAAAGTGAATTGATCCGAACTATTTTCAATAGTGTTTGCTCTTGCGTCGAAGCACATCACACGATGTCTCAAGAATTGCGACCTGTAACTTGAAAATAATCTAACTTTGACAGGCAGAGAGACAGGCGGACAGACAGGTTTCAATCAATTCAGATTATGATTTTGAATCGATCGGTACAATAAAACGTGGGTCTATCGTAAGCCCTTCTTTGTGTTACATATGTCTGCACTCACTTAATATACTCTATACCAATAGTGGTTTAGGGTATAACGATATGAAAACCTAAATCACGAACGTATATTCCAACTTCGAAAACGTTGTCTAAATAATCTACTGTACCCTTATCTTTGCCCAAATACTGTCATTTTTAAAATTATAAACTCATCGTAGATTACATAGACTTTTGCAGAAAGCAAAATTATTTCTAAAATTCGATAATTTTTCTCTGTTTTTGTCAGTTTTTTTTTCCAACTCGAAGCGTTAAAAATTTTGTTACCAATCATTTCATAACGCTTGTCCGTCCTTATATATTCCGACTCCTCGTACAAATAGATAAAGAAAAAACAAAAAAAAAAGCGGAAAATATTCATCAAAATTTGTTTCAATCGTTTACACCGTTCGAAATAATATAACTCGCCTTTATATATATATTTTTTTAACCGAATTTTACATAAAAATTTAACTGAAAGAAAAAACGAAAAGCAAAAAAAACTAGGAGGGTTGGAAAGAAATAAGGCACGAAAAAAAGGAAAGAGATGTGGCTTTCTATACCTCAAGAGTGGATGACGATGGTAACGAATTGGAGAGACGGCCAATGGCACGGAGTTTAGCTTCATCAATAAGTGAAAGCACTACGAGATTAAATTTAAGTTCACGCAGTTGTGATAGAAAAGCTGGTGTACTGTAAGTATACTTAACACATTCGACTATTAAGACCATTGCAAATGCACAATATATGCAAATTTTTGTCATTCCATTAGATATATTAATCCGGCCGCTTACATAGAGAAAGATGGTGAAATGGAAAGATCACCTGATGCTGGTCAAGGTAGCATAGATAGTAAGTGCCCATCAGTTTCCGAAACTGAAAGCGATATTGTGCCGCCGTTGGATTTGCAGTCGGAAGAAAATTATCCAACAACAAGGGATTATACGTTTTCCTACCGCAAACATTGCGAAGCGGCCAAGATTGTTTTGAAACCGGAAAAGGCCTACGAGACTTGGCTTTCTGCCAAAAGGTAAGCGTTGCATGTAGATGACATTTTAATGAAATATATATTTAAAGGAATACTTCATTTAGAAAGCTGCTATCGGATGAGGCTGCCAGACGTAAAAAAGCCGAACAACAAAAGCGTCAAGAATTAGAAGATCGTAAGCGTTTAGCCGATGAAAAATTTAAAAATTGGTTAAAAAAAAAAGCTTGCCAACCAAAAACAACTCATCTAGCACAGGAGCCATCAATGCAACAAATTAGTTCAAATTTAACGATTAAATCGACATCAGCGAATACAGATTTGTTAGAAAGACCGACGCGTTCTCAATTGAGCGAAGAGGAAACTTGCAAGTATTGTCGTAATGTAATACGATGCCAGGCGCCGCAATTACCCAATTATAATTTTTTTTAGGCAAGCATAATTTAGTATAGAAATTAAGTATAAATACTGCACTTCTCAATAAAGAATTTCAATTGTTTTACACAATGCAAACATAAGCGTTTAATTCGCTAAGAAAAAATAACAGGCATTCAACCCGCCTACGATCAAGATTTAGGGACCGTCTCTT